CGCCTACACGATCTCAGGGATTTCGAGTATAGATCCACCGTACACCAGTGATAAAAGGTAGAATGGGGGAGGGGGGGGGGAGGCGGGTCGCATCGGAAAGATGGAGGGTCGTCTGATTACTCCAGCATTCCTCCCTCTTGATGCTGTACCGTGCTTACACCTTCACGGAACAGTTTGTGCTTTTGTGTGCTTCTCTTTAGCTCTGAGTTGATACCTTATGATGCTGGAGAGCCAGAGAACCCGTAAAAGAAAGGCATACGCTCATTTCATCTCCGAGACTATGTAATGAGCAAGTTTTGCTTTTTGTGAGTTCTCCTATTGGGCCAATTTCCGTGAGTGGCGTGAGGTGTGAACGCGGCCTAATAGGATAGGCTTACAAAAAAAACAGCTCGCTAAGGGTACGCGTCACATTCAGCACTGATGAATCACAGCTGTAGGCTTGATCAGGGGTAGCGTACAGTGCTTCGCGGAAAGAGCAGTGATTCCTCCTTTCCTCTTATCGTAACCACAGCAGACCACGGCGAAACTAATGGTGTTATGTTCCGATTTCATACTCCGCCCTGACCAGTCTGGGTTTGCTCTTTTTGTGATCATACAAACTTTTTCCCATTCAATTGTTGTCTGATTCTGAATGAGAGATGGACGTACGGTGCATTCTCAAAACTTCGTCATTTCAATTCTGTTCAGGCAGTGGCAGCCGCAGGTGTGGCATCAGATCGAGCCTGCATCAAATCAAACGGCACGTTTCGAGCTTCACTCAGCGAGGAAGACGTGCTTGGTTGTTGTGCGGTCTGTGGCAACTGCTATGGTGGCGATCCACTAAAGGCGCTTGTCTTCTGGGTGAACGAGGGCATCGTAACTGGTCAGATATTTCCCATATTCCCATAGCCTTTCGACCCACTCATTACGCAGTTGCAGGTGGACGAGATGGCTGCCGACCGTACTCATTTGATCGGTCCTGTGGTGTGCCCTGTTCTCCGGCCACTTTCTTCGCCGCTGAGAAAAATCGGATATGTATTCGACGATGTCAGGATATTTACTATCAGAACAAGTATGACAGCGATAAGCACTACGGTTTGTTTCCTACAGTGCTGTCCTGCAGCCTTATAAATGTGAGATTTTCGAGTTAAGTTTTCACATTCTCTTACTTGCTTTTACAGCATCGCTAGCGTATTCAATGTACCCTCGAAGTATGACTGTGACCAGCGATGGCAGCGTCAGAGCGCAGGTTCCAACCATAATCGGTCATCTGAACAAGACTTCGTCCACTCCTATGGACCTTACTCAAGTGAGTCAACTCTTCTACATTACCTTTTAAAGTGTTTAGGCCGCGTTCATACTTCACGAATGTAGAGAATTCGCGATTCCGGAAAACGCAGTAACAGTATCGATTTGAAGATGCACGATTTTGTACAATGCGCGACAAAGTACAGGGGTAGGAGTAGGGGAAATCACCGAGATGGCCAAACGAGTTCAGTCCTCCCCACAAAACCGAAAAATTATAAAAAATTCTCCATTAAAATTGGGGTATTTTTGCGGGGGGGGGGGGTAGACGCATGCCCCTTGTTATTACATGTTAACTAATAGGTTTCACCATAGTGAGACCTGTAGGCTCTTGTAAAGTAGCGAAGTGCTAGAAGGTGAGCCACCTTATGGTTAGTCACAGGAATTCACAGATATTCAGATCTTCAATGATAGCCTGTAAGCGGAGTGCCACTTGGTGCCCCCACCAGGCTGAAATTGCGCTGAAAAAATCCTTCAACGCTAAATCCGCTCCCTCCCCGGCGGGCGAAATTATCACCTCCCCGCTGCGGATTAGCCTAACGATGAAGGTGCTGGATGAGACCCTGATTCTGCCCACTAGAGAATCGAATCGCCCGTTCTTCCAATTCGCGTATTTTGTACATTCGCAAAGTATGAACACAACAATGTCCTCTGAACACAACAAAGTCCTACTCCTCTCGAAGATGTGATAATACAGATTCGGAATATTCTGAAAAAGGAAATCTCTTTATTTGGCCCCACGACAATGGCCTTTCCTGTATCTGAAGAATTTTTGCACTATTCATCAGGTAATCGGCACTTTCACTGGTCATGTTCTCTTTTGCTGCTGATCTAAATTCAGTTACTTCAGGTATCTTCCAACCATACCCTCTAGAAGACTTCGACAAACGAATCGTCTACTGGCACGTGGTTCGGTTAATTGGATGGGGTCAAGCCGAAGATGGATCTCACTACTGGACCGCCATCAACAGCTTTGGGGAACACTGGGGAGACTCAGGTAGAAATATTAAGCTGTCAAATTCATACGAATTATTTGTAGTGTGATCAGAAACAACTTTTTCGTTTATTTAGAGCAACTTCTAGGCATATTAAATCCAGCTTCATTCTCTATACAGGGGGGCCAAAAAAAGACTTTTTTCTTCCTCGACTTTCGAGGCGCTATAAGTTACACTTTATTAAATTCTTATCGGACATTTCTACCACCATATTAAAGAGCATATCAAATACTATCATGATACTCCGCCACAGCTGGAGGAGCGCCATCGAGAGATTCTGCCACGCGACCGTGAGTGGGTGCCTGAGTTCAGCGAGATCGTTGATTTCTCCGCCACTGTAGACCACCCTATTGAACTCCGCCCGAACCAGGTAATTGAGGGGGTTTAGGTCAGGTTACCTGCTTAGATATTCCACCTTCTTCAGGTACTCAACGCCCTTCCATTCCAAGTAGGCAAGAGTTTCTCCAACGCCCTTCGATTTCATGTGGTGGCACTCAATGCTGTAGCAGTACAAAGTTTCCAAGAAGGTACGGGCGACGACATGTGAGGAGGATATTCTTCACGAGTTGCTCAATGTAACCGCCAGCGCTCACCTTCAGTCCGGGGCCCACGAAGAAAATATCGGTCTCTCCATTCCAGGTACGTCCGGTCCCCACCATCAACTGGCGCCTTGGCGACTGAGGTGAAGATGATGTCCTAGACCGTAGCGACGTTGACGGAGCTGCTCGATGATGGAGGTCTTCCAGATCGAGAGTACTGCTCTCCAGGTAGCTATTTATGGGTGACTCCATACTAGAAGTTTCGCAGCTGTTTGGAGGTGACATGAATTCCAAAGGTCTTCTCCAGTCAGGTTGCGACTGGAGATGACTTCATATTTTGGTGTACATGAAGGTGATGGGCGAGAGCCAGCTCCTGCTTATAGAGGAACATCTTGGGTATCTTCCGCCCTGGTACTCGTATCCACGTCCTCTGTCTGGGCTGCGAAAACTTTGCTGATATGTGACTCGGTCGAAATGTCTTTTTTTGCCCCCCCCCCCTGTATGTAAATAAACCCGAGTAAAGTCAAACTTGAGGAGGAGATGGTGTAGTGGAAAGTGGTACGCTCACCAAGCGTGTGGTCCAGGGATACTCCCGATTGGGCTTTCCATCCTGGCCAACCAAGCCTTCTACCCCCGTGACGGTAAATCAGTACCAGATTCGTCTGGGATAAGAACACTGACTTGTACATCGACCGGTCCTGTGTGGGCCACATCGCTTTCAATAAGCACCACCATTGTGAATGGAAGTAGAATGCGTGCCAACGTGCCCGATCCCGAAAAGGATTGACAGACTTTACCGTCTCTCCTTTTATAGTCGTAGTCAGATACGGCTTCGCGACCACTTCGAA